TTTTATCGCTGTTTGAATAAACCTATAAGAAAACGTGTATGTAAACTTATAAAATAATAATAGTCAAGTGATATATTTACAACTGTTTAAATATTTTGTATGTGTGTATACAAAATATTTAAAAATCTATATTTAAATTCAAAATCGTTGAATTTTACCTATTATTTATGTAGAGTTTACAATAAAATAACATTATAAAATACAATGTTTAGTCGTAAATTATAATCGTTTAGTCGTATGTCCCGGCAAACATTGTTTTGTCATATAAATTAATATTGCGAATAAAAAATAGGGGTTGATGGTAGAAGGGTGAAAATTTAGGGTTGCATCTATATTTTAAAGTCGAATCATAAAAGAAATATTTAAAAAATAATGCACTTTTATAGGGGCCTCCCTTATTACTTAAGGGTATAAAAAATAGATAACCTATTCTCAGACCTGCCGAGTATACATATAAAATTTCATTAAAATCGGTTCAGCGGTTTTGTTTTGTGACACGTGACACGAAATTTTTGTATACTAAGATTATAACAGACGTGTAATGTTATAATACTTAGCCTATATACATATAATGGAATATACATCATAGTACTAAATTAACACAGACAGACGGAATTTATACATAGCACTCTCTCGTAGAGAGTATTCAAAGTACCCACCATTTAATTTTAATATTTAGTTAGCTGCCATATATTCCATCCAGCGATACGGTGTAGCTTTAATAAATTCCATTCATTAATTTAATGCTTTCCGCTTCTATGCAAGATCTAATTAATTTATTAAGAAAGAAAATGTGTACTTTATTACAAGTTTAATTGATAGAGCACTGAAGTCACTTCACAGTATAGTGACGGGGTGAATTAAATGTTTGTCGAGCACAGTTAGATACACAATGATTAGATTATTATGCTGCACTTGAATATTTGAGAACCGTTCGGAAACGTTAAGTTATAGCACGATGCCAAGGCACGCTAGACGCACGTGCGGACCTCGCGGGAAGACTGCGTGGCGGTCTCGTCCGCGCTGCGGTGGGGCGCCGCGCGCCGCGCCGGCCGCCGTCACTAGTGCCACCAGACGCCGTCCGACGCCGATGGCGCTGTTGTTGTCTCTACTGTTCCTTGTACAGGTGGACTATCACATTCAAATATCGGCAGGACTACATGTCTGTAAGCCTTTAAGAATATTCAACTTGAAGGCCCAATTAATTGGCTTATCTCTATGCCAAGTAAATGTTATAATTTCATTAGAATTACATCAATTAGATAAATTACTTAAATTAATAGGCATTGTGGGAAGTAACGTACAAGATCGGCTGAAAAAGACAGTTATGTATATACATAGGTATATATACTGTATTAACTTCCTTAATGCGTTCAGCATATTTTGTCGAAAAAGTCTTTAAGATATTGCAGATACAACTTTGTTAAAAAAATTGTTAAATTACGTTTTGAAATTGACTACGAAGGGTAAATAAATAAATAAATTACAGCGAATTTCTGTAAAATATTAAAGACATTACAAAAAACTAAAACTACAAGAACTTGAAATATAAATAGAGATGTTATAAACTAAAACTAGGTGACAAAGCCGGAATGAAGATGTCCATAGAAAAGCCGAAATGATCCATATAGATAGTCTGAAGGGTAACAAGCTACATGTCTCGAGTAACTGAAAACTGATGGGGAACAAAAGTTCTTGAGTGGCGAACCTCTATTTGTATATTTAAGAGCAGTACAGGGTGAACCCACACGATCCCGAGTGAAGAGCTAAAAATATTGCAGTGAGTTGATGGGTAGAAATGATAATGATAGTAGAAACGTAATAACCCGTCATTAATTAACATTCAGATAATAAGAATCATCTAAGTTGTAGTTTTGAAAAAGATGAATATTTCCGTGCCGTCAATATTCACCAAGTTATAATGGATTAGTTACTCGCCGCGGCTTCGCCCGGTTTCTCGTAACATTGTGTATGTATATCAATATTGAGCCTTTCCAATAGTGTAAGAATTTCAGAATCGGTGAAGTAGTTATTTTTTGAGGTCATTAATTACAAATGATCAAATATTTCTTATATATCCTCATATTTATTAGTTTAGATATAAGAATTATCAAGCTGGAATAAATAAGTACAATTAGGTAAACTGAATTTATTTATTCTTGCATAATTTTATGAAATATTGATAACCAATAAATGATATTTCATAAAATTAGTACAGTGTATGTTATAAAAGTGTGAAGAAATATGACTTTGACAATTCTGTTCTATAGATAGAGCAACCGAATTATAGTAAAATCAGAATACTCACTACTTTCTTAGAAGTAGTAAATAGTAGTAGAAACCTACAAAATAGTCGCATGGATCCTTCAGGATCTACAATAGTTTTCTAGACCCTTTAGAATATTTAGTCAATGAAAATTCGTAAAGTACATTCAATACATATATCTACATAAATTAGAGAGACTATAATAGATATGGTAAGTCATAACTGTTACAGCTTATGTGTAGAACGTACGAGTATATATTGTATGGAAATAACGAGCGGTTCTTAGATAATAAGTAACACCATTGTATTTACTGAAATAAAACAGAGATATAAATGTATAATATATATATTTAGATATATATCGATTTACTAATGTTTAAAAATAAATGGATCCATCCATTTACATCAGTCATATAGGAAAAAGCACCTTGGTGTATGATATTTCCTGGCAATTTTTGTGGTCGTTGGTGATGATAGAGACGAAGTACAGAGTATATATATATTGGCAGAACTTGACAAAACGAAAGCTTGAAAATTAGCAACGCAACTTACAAGTTTTAGGATTTAGTCGCTTCTATTACAAACAGGAATCAGGAATGGTAGGATGTATTTCGTAATCTACAAGAAGACTTTATAAACTATGTATTCAGGGATGGCTCTATCGTGATATCTTTCCTGTTTCAAAGCTTTCCAGAATGGTAAATAAACTGTATAAAGAATGAGTTTGGTAATTAAAATACATATTATTTCTAACGGATAACAAAAGATTCTTGAAATATATACTGAGAACTTAAAAAATAATATCTATCTATATTAGATACACGTATTGTTTATAATTAAACCTACTTAGTTAATAATGTAGTAAAATTAAATCGTAAAAAAGTATATCTACTATTATAGTTGTGTAGGTACCTAATTTATGGAATTCGGATTCAAAGATAATTTGGTCTATTAATAATATAACCCGGCTCTCGCTAGTAACTATAGCAATCAGAAAAATAAATGAAGATCAATTACTTTTATGTCCCAGGAGCAAGGAACAGATAACTTTAGAGTACTACTATTACGATCAGTATATTTATTTTAGAATTTCAGATTACATGTGTACAAACCTACAAATATTACGATTTTCTTTTACGTTCAATTGGATAAATCTTATTCCCTTGAACCCTAGTGTTGAAGTGTGTTAGAATTAACTTATCAATCGTGAGCTAAATATCTTTTTTATGTTTACCGGTATCTTTAGTAGACAGTACATGTCTACTAAAGATATTTGTTTAAAAAATTATATCTTGTATAGAATTAAAACTGTTGCAAAGTTAATATATATATGGCATATATAATTGAAGGAGTCGATATTTAATTCCCACAACAATCAAAGCTCCATACAATAAGTAAGATATACTGGATCTGCCATGATAATATTATTTTAGACATCGCGTTTAGAGTATATTTAGGATTATAAACAGCCGTGAAAAAAGTATAAAACAGTGTTTATAATGTTGGATATAAATATAAATATTTTTTGAAATATTCTTTAGATAAAATGTAAGAATATAATCAGATAATTTATGGGACTGTGTTAAGTTTTAGAAAAGATACAAAAGTATTTATGTTTACGTCTGGAGATTCTACATCATCTTACAATTTGAAACTCTCATTAAGAAATAGGTACTAGTTGGGTAGAGACTACTCTCATTACAGTGTCAATTACTCAGGAGACAATCGTACACTACCATCGTTGTTCAGCCACGGATTTTTTAACAGCTTTTTTCAACTGCAGCTATCACATAAAGTGGACCGTAAAATATAAAAAGATGATGTTTATAAGTGGCTAAAAATGTTCTATGTGGCAAATACTCTTGCCTTTATATGTATATTTTTAGCTCTAAAGTGTGGCTTTCAAATTTATATTTACCTACGTCAAGCAAATGAATCTACATATACTTTTATTTTGAACATTCGACCCTTACTTATGTAAGTCGGAAAAATATTTAAATAAGCGAATACACTTTATTAAATTATTTACTCTGCGTTTTTAATAAAATTTATTTTTATATTACTTTAGCGTAAAATAGACTAGTTTTCAGGTTTCTTAATTATATATTGAATTAAGACACGAGTCATAACAACAGATTGAGATAAACAATGTGATTAGCAAATATGTAGTTACTAGTTTATGAATTGGTCCTGAGAAAAAAAGGACACTATATAATTGCAATATCAGATACAAGGTAGACAGAATACTCTAAACTATTTATAATTATGTTATAATGTATATAGGTAGTGTATACTAATAATAAAGACTAATAAAGAATATATACGGCGGCTAATAAGATATAAAACATAAAATGAAATGAAACGTTATGTCCCTACCGTCGGATAAAAATTTTGGACATTGAAGTGAGATTCCCTATTAACATAATATTTGAAATAAAAATATAAGTTATAAAAATATTATTATATTGACCTTATTTATCGAAAATATTATGCATATTTTACACTTGTAGCAGTAAGAAAGCTCAGGATGATGAAAGTGGTAAGTACCCGTAATTTATCACCATGGTTATCAGAGAACATATTAATCATTATTTTTGTTGTTATATGAAGTTCTTAGAATACGCGATAATATAAAGTTGAGTTTTGACTATGGTAATATTTTTTTTATAAAATTGTCCATCGGTATTTATCCAGTATACGCTAAAATATACTTTATAATAAGTTAAGTACTTACCTTGTACATATTATATATTTTGTAGGCTCTTTCTTGCTCGTCCGATAATGTTTGACATGATTCCATGCTGTTACATTCAAATAATTATGCACTGTTTTCAAAATGTGATGGTCCATTTATTCTGCTCATATGATAGTCTTATTAAAGAAAATTACAATGTACCTTAACAATTTTACAGATAAAAATCAATTAAATTTAATAAATATTTAATGATAAATTACAGATTACAAGTATGAAAATCCTAATACGATATAAAAGGAATATCTCTATAATAATCAAAATAAACTCGTAATGTTTGGTTGGACATACTTTGTTAAAGTTGAATTAGAAGATTATATTATATGTAATATAGGTCTGTAGTTCACTTTGCACTTGCGAATAAATTAAACCTAAGTAGGTAGCATTAAATACAAGTACTACTAATTTTTAATTTATAAGTTGTTTAATTTTACTATTACGATTTATTTACAATTGGAGATATGAAAATTGAAGTAAATTAATATAAAGTCAATTTATTTAACATGAAGGAATATTCGGAACAGTTATGAAACAATACAAATCACAGACAAAGTAAGGCAACATTTTAGTAACTGGGTGGGGACTTTAATTACCTAATTTATTGCATGTATTGCTAAAGTTAAAGTGCACAAAAGTAACAATAGGTACGTTGTTTACTTAAATAGCCGGTTCGTAATTACAGACTTATCAATGGAGTGCGCGTAAAAAAGCGGGGTGTCGCCAGTAGGTGAGCGGAGGCCACGTGGCCGGCACGCGGGCCCGACGCGGTGGTATAGGAACACTTCGAATCCGCAAGGGAGCACCCGCCGGAAACCGAGGTGTACCGGAGCTCCTCGAGTACAGAGAAGTGGCGGCCCGCGGCGCGGCTGCCCTGTACCCGCACCCCCCGCATACCCTCCTCACACACCCGCACATGCACTGGCTCCGCTGCCTTCGTCTCCACACCACCACTCACCCCGCATACTATGTTTGCCTTAATCGCGAATTAAGGTTCCAGTAATGTTTTCTGTTAAGCTTAGAGCTTAATTTGACGCCATTCATTACAGATTCCGTTTCTCAAATGGAGAATGGGGAAATTGTTGTATTGATTAAACTGATAATACAACTGTAATGTTGAACTCATATATTTATATAATTTGATAATTATTTAGACTTTATAAGTCACAATAAGAATTTCATAACGTCAAATTAAATATGAAATATCGCCATGAAAAGTGCTTAATCTATCTTTATAAGGCTATGTAAATAGATGGCTGCTAAATTTCCATAAATTTCCACTTTGTATTATAATTTAAACACAATTGATTTTATGTACATTTTTGTTAACTTATACTATATACAAACATCATTTTATACTTGTGTTTTATATGGCTAAATGAAATAATGCAGGTTTGAAATGAGATCTTGACATCGAAGAAGATTTATTTTCTACGGGTGTATCTAAAGTTGACGTTACTATTTTATATTTTCTTAATAGATCTATGTGTAGCTGTTGCGTTTCTATGATCATGAGTGAGAATTTACTTACTTTATATTACCTTTTAGGAGAACACTGTTAACATAGACCTATATAAACATGTTTGAATATTTGCCAATATTATGAAACATTGATAATATAATAGAGCACTTATATATATTACAATCTTGTATAAAAGCTGTAATACTGTTAAAGTATTAAAACATGCCGGTCGTGCACATACGTTATTTGCTTTATTTTTTTATGTCAAAAAGATAAAAGTTTCACTTTAAATAATTGATACAAGGATATGGACTATGGATAAGACTTAAATTTTGAACACGAATAAAAACATAATGAATAAACATACATAAGAATTGGCCATTGGCCTCATCATTGGTCAAATATGTAGAAATATAAACGTAGACTAGGCTGTACGGTCTAAGGATCTTTGCCTGTTCCATCACTGAAAAGTAGATGGACGAATATGGGAAAAAAAAAATCAACACGACAGACTCAAGACTCAAAGACCATAGAGAAACAAATTCATATAAAAACAATTCTATTAAATTTTGGTATTTTTTGTGAGTATCAGAATTAAATACTAGGTATGCTGCGTTACTATTATATATGCAACAAGTAACAACAATATAGACAGTACTAATGATGATTGTTGTGAACACATTTTTTACGAGATGTACAGAGTGCGAGTTTAGAGCAGGTACATAGTACATACACTTAATAAACATAATTAATACTACTATAGTTTATTTGAAGTTTAAGGATCACGTTGAACCTGAATGGTAAGAGAATAAACAAAGCGATTATGCAACGAAATACGAGAACTGTTCTAAAATGTAGAACTTTTAGTAAAGTCTGTTGACCATATTTTATAACATTCATGTTTGAGTACGGTATATTGTTCCAAAATCAATTGGTTCTGAAAGTATGATATTGAATTGCTCTTATTGGCCGTCTGCATTGACCTGTTTCCGCATTTTTGTTTTTGAATTGCATCTGTATTGTAATATCAATGTAGTTAAGTGTATACCTATATGTGCGTCACGGCAAAAAAAAATGCCCTAGTCTTGGTATTGTGGTTGCGGGTTCGTGGCGAGTTTTGTTGCGTTAGATTGCAGTGGTGTCGAGTAGGTCGGTCTATTTGTGGTGACAAGAGAGGCGTGGGTGCCGCGTGTAGCTGGAGTGGCAATGACCTTGACACTAAGCGAGTGGCCTTGGGTAGCACGTGGCGGCTGACACCCGCTGTCTGTTGTCGGAACGCTGCCGCCGCCTTTCCCTGGGGAGCCTATTGTGGACACGCCTTGCAACTAAAGTTCGAGTTACCGTTACAAGTTTATTTTTACATTGCCAAATCCGCAATTGATTGTTACTTATATAAGTACACCAAGAGTTGAATTCATCAATAAGTTATACTGCGGAATAGAGTAATAAATACGTTTACATTATAAGTAAAAAACGCAGTAGTTATCTAGTTTGTAGTTTGTCCTTAAATATGTTAAAAATATATATTACTGTTATATTTATGTTCACTTTTCATATTTCGTACAAAATATTGCAAGGGAAGTCAAATAATACATTAATTTGGAAAAGTACAAATTTCTGATTACAGTTTAATTAGAGTAAGTATTTAGTATGAGTATTTTTATAATATTGAGATCTTCCAATTGCAAATAAAGTAATTTTATCGAAATCATCAAAAAAAGACCATCTGATTAGGTAGAAATCCATACATACAAATTTTAAAAATAAAAAATAATATAACCTATGTTGCACCTAATTAAATTAAGCAATAAAAAATATATAATCGCGAGGTATATCCAGTTTGAGATAATGTGTGAATGGGTGCGATTCAGAGCATCGGCGACGTGCGGCAGCGTGTCGAGTGCGGTCGCCGCGGGGCGGCGCGGTGCGGTGGCGTGCGGCAGCGCTCAGTAGCCCCGTAGCACCCGGCGCCCGGCCAATACGTTTACGAGCCGACACTAACTTTAAGTGACCCCGCATTCGTGCGCCTCACTTATATTTACATCCTATCACAATGAAAATAATACCGTGCCGAAAGGGCCAAATATCGTCATTTCTTTGAACTTTCCTTCAAAGAGTTCCAAATGTACTGTGTCCATGTAAGACTTTGGACTGAGATGATGAGAATGCAAATACTGGTGTTGAAATTATTAACGTGCTCTAGAAATTCGTTTTTACTTCGGCCTACCTATACCTATTTACATGAGAGATGAGACAGTTACTACTTCTGTTTATTTCTCTAAATAAATTCTGATTGAATGTGAATTAATTGAATTTGAGTTGTCAAAGCAAAAGCAATAAAATTTAGATGAGTAATAAATTTTGTCGGAGATCCCCATTGAGTACATGTATAGACACATATATATTATTATTAATATATATAAGGATCTATTTTGTACCTACTAATTAAAAATCAGTAGAATCATCAAACTACTTGGAACTTTTGAAATATATAGGTATGCTAATATATAATTATTCAAAGCTCCATTAAATATCCTTTATTGCTGCTTAACAGTTCGATTCCGCATAATTTAAAAGATTCGCGTCTTCATTCAAGAGCATTAAGTAAGTCAGTAGTATGAAAGTAAACGAGGTGTGGTATGTAGCAGCTGTCAAAGAATGCGTATGGCTCCACGTTTGCAAGCGGCCACCCGGTCGACATGCCGACCGCACCTCTAGGGTTTCCAAAATCAACTTTTCTTTAAAAATATATCACTGAAGTTGGTACCAAAAACGAAAATGCGGTGTAAAAGAAAATATTGTAAACGATTATCACGATGTGGGTATATTTTATGTAAGTATTCAATCCTAATGTCAGTGTATTTTTAATTGAATAGATGTACATATTAGACTTGTTAGTAAATAAAATAGACATAAGGGCTATATACGAGTATAATATCTTATCGTCGATCATTCCCATCATATCTGTAGAGAATTAAAATTAAAAATAATTTATCATTTTCCCATATTAGATTAAAAAGATAAAAACTTAAAGAAACAGAAACACAAATATAATTATCGCTGTAAGTGGTTTAGCCTATAAGTTTGATAGCCCTACATATATGTATCGGCATGAATGAACGCCGACTCGCTTTTTATCGCCTCTTTGTCGAAAGCGACGGTTTAGCTACAAACACCTGTAATTTTCTTGTTTGCGATTGTCAATCACGCTGAACTCCGTTTGTTGAGTCCATTCAACTCCGTTGCATGTCTAAATAAAATTGCGACACGTAATATCGTGACAGGGCCATGCGTGCGAGTCTACACATATTATGTACACTTACATTTGATTTTAGATAATTTCGTTCAGGTAAATTGATACGACAATATTTGCGCCGTATATTTGATGGAAGTTAGGCCATTAATTTTTTTGAATGCATAACACTTGATTTGATGTAATTAACAACATGAGACTAGTTAATGAGTCATTTTTATACAGACAAAATGTTTAACGATAAAATTACAGGCCATGGTGCCATAACATCTTAGTCCTGCTAAATTGAAAGGATATGTTTGGGGCTCTTCATATATAGGTTATGTTGGCCATTTAGCACCAGGTAGGCCATAAATTCCTTTACCGTTCTAATTAGGTACATATAATTGGTATCGCCACCACTTCATTTATTAGAAAAAAATAATTTCGCCGTTGATCAAAAAATAATAAAAAGTAGATTTACAACTTGTAAAGCAATTACGATCAAAAATAATTTTATATTATAGTCATTATATTATAGTTATTAATACAATGGCAAAATAAGGTCTGAAATGCACACAAAGTTTTTGGTATTGGCCAGATTTGAACCACTCTTAGGTTTGATACGCAAATTTATTAAAAGTCCTCTATTTTGAAATCTAATAAAATGAAAAGTTATTGGTTAATCAGTAACGGGTCAATAGTAGTTATTAGCTTGAAAAGTATATAATAATAATATGATTTTGTTACAAATTGTTTTACGTATTCACATTAACATTTATAGATAACACTAGGTTCTGCAGGAACCAGAATATGAATTCCCAATTATGGGATATTACTTTATTATTCCTTACATAATTATATATGTCATTAATTGTGTTTAAATATGCTATGTCTGTCGGTAACAGTATATCATTATATTTTTAGGGTTTTGGGGTTTTTACATTAACTGAGTTTTTCTCAAACGTTATATATTGTTACATATATTTTGTTTAACTTTATTTACACACGCACTCATATTCGCTCATTTTAGCCATACTCATAGCAATCTCGTAATTAAAACAAATATTATGGTACTACATATTAAAATCTAATAACAAAGTATAGGTAAAAGGTATGTAATTACATGTAAAGTAA